ACCGGCTCCGGCACTTCCTTGTTGTTTGTAATTCTGACCTCCCTGGACAATAGCGGTGATCACATCTGCTGCCAGCCCCTCTCGCGGGACGCTCTTGTTGTTCATAGGACAGAGCTTCTCCTTGGGGAGGACCAGCTTGAGAACAAAATGTGTTTTAAACTTCAGGCCGTTCTCCTCTTGAGGTCCATCCGTTTTTTAAAGCTTCGTCTTGTAATGAGAAGGTTAGCGAGACTGTATATCTTAATTGTCGTCCTTTATAATGGTTGCATCATGGTGAAAGCGTTGTGTGAGATCTACAGTCTCCATGGAGTGGTGGGCCTCTGGGGTGATGGCGATATCCTGCAGATTGTAGAATGTTCTGTGTTACAGTAGAGTCCCTAGGCGCTAACATAGTTACTGTTGATTAGTTTGATCTGAAGTTACCTAGTGAAGAGGAATTTGCCCGGCTTGGCACCCTTTCCTCTTCGTACACGTTGGCACAAGTCCTGCAGATTCTCAGTGTCCGTTTCTCGCACTGAGATGGACCGATGGGCCAAAGCAAGTCTCGGATGTCAAGTGTGGCCAACCGTTTCTCGCACTGAGATGGACCGATGGGCCAAACCCCAAGTCTCGGATGTCAAGGGTGGCCAACTGTTTCGAGCTGTCGGGGTTTTAGAGCGGATGAGATGGTGGTAGCAAATCTTTAGTTCAAGCTTTCTCAACTTTTTTTTTTTCTTTTAACACTCTTTATTTAACAATTGTACATACACATAGGAGTGCTTCAAATGTGATCGCAGAATTCCACGTAAGCCATTCCAAAGACCGTATGGCAGAAAAAAAATCCTTCCTCTCCATAGTGTCAAATCTGCCTTCAGGAACAGAGAATAAATAAAGAGCTAATGAAAGTGCGTATCCCATCTGACTATTTTGACCAATCTATGACACACAAAACAAACCCTCAACATGGTGCCAAGCCGATAAGACCATATGGCCAAGAGATTGAGAAAAGGAAACGGGCAAGGAGAAGGGTGAAAAGGAAACGGGCAAGGAGAAGGGAGAAAAGGAATGGTGGGGATTAGGGAAGGGAGAGGGAAATCTCACTCCAAGTGCACGATCGGTGCATATTCCTTTGAACAGGTAAAGAGTGTCCAATAGAACCATTTACGGGTGAATTTCTCCTCCTCACCCCGGATCACAGCTATGATGCTCTCCATTGAGTGAATTTCAGCAATTTCATTAAACCACAAGGAGAGCGAAGGGGAGGTCTCCTTCCTCCACAGTAATGGTATGCAGGCCTGAGCAGCATTCAATAAGTGGACCAACATAGAATTTTTGTGTTGGTTCCTAGAGAGGTCAGAGTGGTGCAATAAGTACCTGGCTTGGTCTACCCCTAGTTCGAAATCAATCAGATTTTTTGATAGTATATCTGACTTGGCTGTCTTTTTACAGGACCGGAAAACATGGAGAAAATTGCCCGCCTCCTCTTTGCAGCGCCTGCAAATATTCGTCGCTTCTGGGTAGAGCTTTCTCAACAGGGCCGGGACCCCTTTACCAACGGGTGAGCACTTTAAAGCCCAACTCCTGGTATTTGCTTGCTATGGAGGAATAATGGACAAAGTACCTAATATAGTCCCGTTGTCCCACCGAGATTTCCCTACCCAGATCTCTCTCACATTTAAGATACGGAGGCATGAAAGATTCAGCAGGTTGGATTAGGAGTGTGTAGGCAGCTGAAACCATGGGACGTGGGGTCAGGGACCAGGCAGAGATCTTCAAGGGAAGTGTAAGGGTGAGCGGTAATCCCTCGATGGGTCAAGTTAGTAAAAAAAAAAAGTAGGTAAGCTGTTGTAGTCGACAGTTCTCTAAGGGCGGTGAGCTTCTCAACCCTTTTAACATGGAGGAACCCTTGAAATAATAACATTTTGTCTTCAGGGATCCACCGCTAATAAATATTCACAGCTAATAGCGCATTAGTGTGATGGTCAGTAGGAAGAATGCTCCTTACACTTGTGGTCATTGGAAATAATCCCTCCAAGCACAGATAGCTAAAAACATCAATGGTGTCAGTGGTTACTCTAAGAGGCAGAAATTGCTCAAAGAGCCCCTAGCAACATCTGGAGGAATCCTAGGGTTCTGTGGTACCCTGGTTGAGAAACCCTGCTTTACAGGGTCTACCACCACCAGCTTCTGTTACCATTTTACTGGTCTGGCTAGAGGGGCTTGTCAGACATCTTGGTTGGTCAGGGAACCCCTAGCAACCTCTGGAGGAACCTTTTTGGGTTCTGTGGTACTCTGGTCGAGAAACCCTGCTTTACAGGGTCTACCACCACCAGCTTCTATTAGCATTTTACTGGTCTGGCTAGAGGGGCTGTTCAGACATCTTGGTTGGCCAGGGAACCCCTAGAAACCTCTGGAGGAACCTTTTTGGGTTCCATGGTACCCTGGTTGAGAAACTCTGCTCTACATGGTCTACCACCACCACCGTCTGGTACTGTTTTACTGGCCTGGCTAGAGGGGCTATTTAGACATCTTGGTTGGCCAGGGAACCCCTAGAAACCTCTGGAGGAACCTTTTTGGGTTCCATGGTACCCTGGTTGAGAAACTCTGCTCTACATGGTCTACCACCTCCACCGTCTGGTACTGTTTTACTGGCCTGGCTAGAGGGGCTGTTTAGACATCTTGGTTGGCCAGGGAACCCCTAGCAACCTCTGGAGGAACCTTTTCAGTTCCATGGAGCCTGGTTGAGAAACTCTGCTCTACATGGTCTACCACCACCAACTTCTAGTACTGTTTTACTGGCCTGGCTACAGGGGCTGTTTAGACATCTTGGTTGGCCAGGGAACCCCTAGCAACCTCTGGAGGAACCTTTTCAGTTCCATGGAGCCCTGCTCTACATGATCTACCACCACCAACTTCTAGCACTGTTTTACTGGCCTGGCTACAGTGGCTGTTCAGACATCTTGGTTGGCCAGGGAACCCCTAGCAACCTCTGGAGGAACCTTTGTGTTCCATGGAACCTTGCTTTAGTAGGACAAATTGCTATATATATTTTTTTTTTTTTTTTTTTTTTTTAGGCAATCTCCTCATTATTCCTGTGTGAAAAATGGTAGCAGCGCTTTGTCGTGTGCCGCGCTTCATTTATGACACCGATAACAAATGTTTTTAGCTAAACTCCGGGCCTTGGAGGAACGCTCTCATTAGACTGAAGGGCTGTTGTTGGGTATTGGGAAGACAGAGAAGTCGAGTGTTCCTTAAGAAAAGCCCTCCAGTTTGTCTCAGAATTGTGATTGAATTACGAGAGGTTCCTGTGATAACCCCACACCCTCGGCTCAGAATACTGATGTGATGGTTTAATTGGGAAGTAGGGAATAAATAGCGCTCCATTGGGAGTGTTTCTGATCCGTGTGCTGGCAGAGAGAGCTTTTTCGTTGTCTTCTGTCACCCATTAATCACTGCGGCCCAGCAGTCTTGTACTGGTTCAGAACGGGCTAATTTATCATGAAAATCGGGGTTATGGTGCACAATCTCTGCTGCCTGGAGCGTTGTACATGGAGAGGTCGCGTTTGTGGCCTAGTCTGGGGCTTCTGTTAATTAACCTAAAATAATAAAGTAGGGCCGTATCTTGCAGGTGTAATTCAGCGTCGGGTCCCCTCGCAGTGAATATATCTTCCTGGGACTTGGTGACCTTTGCCCCCATCGGAGTTTGGCATAATTTGCAGTTGCTTCCCTCGTCCTCCAGAGACAAGTTTGCTTAAATAAGAGTACATCTGGTTGACAGGTAAGGTGTGTGCGGAATGTTTAGCATATATGTCGCCTCGCTTGGAATTTTGCTTATCTCATGCCGTGTGCAGACAAGCATTTTTTTTTTTTTTTTTATAACAATAATCTTTAATCAGACAACAACAACATACGGGTCTCAACCTCAAATCCTGGTGAGTCACTCAAAGCAGTTTTACTGTCGTGATGGAAATTTTTTTTTGTTGAGGTTCGTGGTGACTCCACAATTGTTTACTTCAACCTTTTGTTATAATGGCTCGATCTTTGTCTAAGGCTCTGCCTGTTCTGTCTTCATGTATGGATTTCATTGATCTATACCAGGGTTTCATGGAACCCAAAGGTTCCTCCAGAGGTTGCTAGGGGTTCCGTGGATCTATAAGACCCACCAAAGTTTGCTAGGGTTTCCATTGTTACTATAGGGTTCCTCCAGAGGGTGCATGGGATTCGATGGAATGTTAGGGTTCTTTAGGAGGTTGCTAGGGGTCCTGTGGTATTCTAGGGTTCCTCCAGAGGTTGCTAGGCGTTCCATGGAACTCTAGGAATCCTCCATAGGTTGCTAGGGAATCCATGGAACTGTAGGGCTCCTCCTGAGGTTGCTAGGGGTTCCAAAGAATGCCAGGGTTCCTCCAGAGGTTGCTAGGGGTTCCATGGACCTCTAGGGTTCCTCCAGAGGTTGCTAAGGGTTCCATAGACCTCTAGGGTTCCTCCAGAGGTTGCTAGGGGCTCCATGGAACTCTAGGGCTCCTCCAGAGGTTGCTAGGGGTTCCATGGAATTCCAGGTTTCCTCCAGAGGTTGCTAGGGGTTCCATGAAACTCTAGGTTTCCTCCAGAGGTTTTTAGGGGTTCCATGGAATGCCAGGGTTCTTCAGAAGGTTGCTATAGGTCCTGTGATATTCTAGGGTTCCTCCAGAGGTTGCTAGGGGTTCCATAGAATTCCAGGTTTCCTCCAGAGGTTGCTATGAGTTCCATAGAATTATAGGGTTCTCACAGAAGTTGCTAGGTGTTCCATGAAACTCTAGGGTTCCTCTAGAGGTTGCTAGAAACTAGGTTCCTCCAGGGGTTACTAGGGGGTCCATGGAAATATGTGGATCCTCCAGAGGTTGCTTGGGGTTTCATTGGCCTTCTAAGGTCCCTTCAGAGGTTGCTTGAGGTTCCATGGTACAATGATCTTTTTTTTTAGCTGTCTAGAAGTGTGGCATTCTGACTACTACTGTGAAACGAGCATTTTCCCACTGACCACCAATGTAAGGGACATTCTTCCCACTGACCCCCAATGTAAGGGACATTCTTCCCACTGACCCCCAATGTAAGGGACATTCTTCCCACTGACCACCAATGTAAGGAACATTCTTCCCACTGACCCCCAATGTAAGGGACATTCTTCCCACTGACCCCGAATGTAAGGGACTTTCTTCCCACTGACCCTGAATGTAAGGGACATTCTTCCCACTGACCACCAATGTAAGGAACATTCTTCCCACTGACCCCCAATGTAAGGGACATTCTTCCCACTGACCCCCAATGTAAGGGACATTCTTCCCACTGACCCCCAATGTAAGGGACATTCTTCCCACTGACCCCCAATGTAAGGGACATTCTTCCCACTGACCCCCAATGTAAGGGACATTCTTCCCACTGACCCCCAATGTAAGGGACATTCTTCCCACTGACCCCCAATGTAAGGGACATTCTTCCCACTGACCCCCAATGTAAGGGACATTCTTCCCACTGACCCCCAATGTAAGGGACATTCTTCCCACTGACCCCCAATGTAAGGGACATTCTTCCCACTGACCCCCAATGTAAGGTACGTTCTTCCCACTGACCACCAATGTAAGGGACGTTCTTCCCACTGACCCCCAATGTAAGGGACATTCTTCCCACTGACCACCAATGTAAGGGACATTCTTCCCACTGACCCCCCAATGTAAGGGACCATTCTTCCCACTGACCCCCCCAATGTAAGGGACATTCTTCCCTCTGACCCCCCAATGTAAGGGACATTCTTCCCTCTGACCCCCAATGTAAGGGACATTCATCCCACTGACCCCCAATGTAAGGGACATTCTTCCCACTGACCCCCAATGTAAGGGACATTCTTCCCACTGACCCCCAATGTAAGGGACATTCTTCCCACTGACCCCCAATGTAAGGGACATTCTTCCCACTGACCACCAATGTAAGGGACATTCTTCCCACTGACCCCCAATGTAAGGGACATTCTTCCCACTGACCACCAATGTAAGGGACATTCTTCCCACTGACCCCCAATGTAAGGGACATTCCTCCCACTGACCTCCAATGTAAGGGACATTCTTCCCACTGACCACCAATGTAAGGGACATTTCTTCCCACTGACCCCCAATGTAAGGGACATTCTTCCCACTGACCCCCAATGTAAGGGACATTCCTCCCACTGACCACCAATGTAAGGGGCATTATTTCCACTAACCCCCAATGTAAGGGACATTCTTCCCACTGATCACCAATGTAAGGGGCATTATTTCCACTAACCCCCCTAGTGACAGGGTTCTCAAAGACCTGAAAGTGATTTTATGGGTTCCCCGGGGGGGGGGGGGGTAAAAGGGTTGGGAGGCTGATCTAAGGGGCGGAGACGTGTCAGTTGTGAGCCATCACTAATTGTGGTTTTGTTGCCTCCTCACTAAGCATGAAGCACCTTCTGAGCCATCCTGGTAAACAAATGCGATGTGTCCCGGGCTCAGGGTATCCAGTACGGCCCGGTTATAATTGTCAGATGGTCCTGAGATTGGAAGACAAGGACTGCTGCTCCTCATGCCATGGCGACGTGCCAGGCTCCGTTCTGGAAGGGGCGTTGGGAGATTTTGTCGTCCTCGCTCTCTCCAGATGCCGATGGCTCTGAATGTGTGATAGATCTTCCAGCCGGAATACATTTACATGTTTATCCTGTACTGCAGTACGGTGATGATGGTGGAGGATCTCTTTGCAGGCCGAGTACAGCCGGTGGAAAGTGGTGACTTCACTGATACAGTAGGGAATCGTTCTTTATCTTCGCTCTTTGCCTGTGGAACCCAAGAGAGAAGGCAGCGGGGCCGAGGAAGGCGTGCAGTGTGTGGGAGGCCCGCGCACTTCTCCAACCGTTTCCATAGTTGTTATCGATCGGCAGTCACCACGTAGGACATTATGTGCATTCATTAAGACATTTGTCCTGTACCGGGGACTCATCTCGTATTATAGACGCCAGATCTTCCGCCAGATCTCTACTAATAGTTGAACATGGCAGGCTTTGCTTTTTTTTTTTTTTTTTTTTTTATCCCCCGACTTCTTCATATTCATTAAAAAAAAAAATGGCAGCTGGAGAGTGATTATGTGAGGGCGTCGCAACGACGCACGGAGAGCTTGACTGCGATAAAACAGAAGCTCCTTCCTATCTTCCACCTCCCTCCCCGGGGATCAAATCCCTTTGTTTCCCACCACCGACGCTTTGTTGAGTCACTTTGTGATTCCTCCCGAGAGGATTCTCCATGTCTGCCGTGGACACCTGACGGGGAGGCTCTTGCAGAGCCGGCTGACAAACCCGAGCAGCTTGGCACCACTTTAGGAGACAAATCGTTGCCAACTGGATAATGAGTTTGTATTAAAGATGGAAGCCACGTGCTGAGCTTCTCCTTTCCTGGGGTGCAGCCTTGTTAGAGGTGCCAGCAGAGCCGGCTTTTGTTAGACGTCTCTCTTCGGGTCAACTTAAATACTTCAATCAAAGGGAAAATCTTCTTACGACTTCACATTTTCTTCCCTCGTACAGAATGTTACCGAATTTAACGATTGGTTAGAGGTAGACGGCGGTCAGGTGTTTCAGCTTCTTAACCCAGCAGTCTCGAAACTGCGGCGCGGGGGCCGATGCAGCCCTTTGCTTGTCATTATCCGGCTCTTGGGGCACTAATTCTCCCACTGACACCAATGAGGACTCTATTTCCCACTTACAGCCATGATGGGACACTATTCCTCCCACTGACACCAATAATGGGGCACTATTCCTCCCACTGACACCAATAATGGGGCACTATTCCTCCCACTGACACCAATGATGGGACACTATTCCACTGACACCAATGATGGGGCACTATTCCTTCCACTGACACCAATGATGGGACACTGTTCCCACTAACAACCATGATGGGGCACTATTCCTTCCACCGACACCAATCATGGGGCACTATTCCTACTGACAACCATGATGGGGCACTATTCCTCCCACTGATACCAATGATGGGGCACTATTCCTCCCACTGATACCAATGATGGGGCACTATTCCTCCCACTGACACCAATTCCTCCCACTGGGACACTATTCCTTCCACTGACACCAATGATGGGGCACTATTCCTCCCACTGATACCAATGATGGGGCACTATTCCTCCCACTGACACCAATGATGGGACACTATTCCTTCCACTGACACCAATGATGGGACACTGTTCCCACTAACAACCATGATGGGGCACTATTCCTTCCACCGACACCAATCATGGGGCACTATTCCTACTGACAACCATGATGGGGCACTATTCCTCCCACTGACATCAATGATGGGGCACTATTCCTCCCACTGATACCAATGATGGGGCACTATTCCTCCCACTGATACCAATGATGGGGCACTATTCCTCCCACTGACACCAATGATGGGGCACTATTCCTCCCACTGACACCAATGATAGGACACTATTCCTCCCAATGACACAAATGATGGGGCACTATTCCTTCCACCGACACCAATCATGGGGCACTATTCCTTCCCGACACCAATCATGGGGCACTATTCCTCCCACTGACACCAATCATGGGGCACTATTCCTCCCACTGACACCAATGAAGTGACACGATTCCTCCCACTGACACCAATGATGGGGCACTATTAATCCCACTGACACCAATGATGGGACACTATTCCTCCCACTGAGACCAATGAAGTAACACGATTCCTCCCACTGAGACCAATGAAGTGACACGATTCCTCCCACTGACACCAATGATGGGACGCTATTCCACTGACACCAATAATGGGGCACTATTCCCCCCACTGACATCAATGATGGGGCACTATTCCTCCCACTGACACCAATGATGGGGCACTATTCCTCCCACTGACACCAATGATGGGGCACTATTCCCACACGACAATAATAGAGCGCTATTCCCACTGACACCAATAATCGGGCACTATTCCTTCCACTGACACCGATGATGTGGCATTGTTACCGTCTCAAGGACGTTTTCTACTCCTATCCGGCCCCTCTAAAGTCTGAAGGATAATAAACTGGCCCTTTGTTTAGAAGGTTTGGAGACTTCTGCCTGAACCCAAGACATGAATGTTGGTGAGCTCTCACTGGCACAAACCCATAGCTTGTGGGACAAGTCCTATCAAGAACCGTCTGAGAACTAGGCTAGCTGTCGCTGTTGCTTGTTTTGGATGGTGTGGCTTTGAGCGTTTTAATTATTGGTTGCATACCGAGAGACAAATATGAGATGATTCCACCCATCCCTGCATTGTTCTGGAAACAAGTTACAATAATCTCCATTCATACATAGCTGTGCTACATTATGACCCAATTGTTCTCGCCTCCAGCTCCGAGAGTGCATGTTGGGACCCCACCGTGGCATTCAAGAGCTCGAATTATTGGTGACCACCGTAAATGTCCATGCAGGACCTCGCTTGCGTTTCCATGCAGGACCTCGCTTGCGTTTCCATGCAGGACCTCGCTTGCGTTTCCATGCAGGACCTCGCTTGCGTTTCCATGCAGGACCTCGCTTGCGTTTCCATGCAGGACCTCGCTTGCGTTTCCATGCAGGACCTCGCTTGCGTTTCCATGCAGGACCTCGCTTGCGTTTCCATGCAGGACCTCGCTTGCGTTTCCATGCAGGACCTCGCTTGCGTTTCCATGCAGGACCTCGCTTGCGTTTCCATGCAGGACCTCGCTTGCGTTTCCATGCAGGACCTCGCTTGCGTTTCCATGCAGGACCTCGCTTGCGTTTCCATGCAGGACCTCGCTTACGTTTCCATGCAAGGCCTTGCTGAGTTCTCGATTTGTATTTACCGAAAAATGTTCATGTCCGAGGTGCGAGAGGAGCGGTCGTACAGGTAGACCCCTCCCAGGTCACAAAGCGGGACGCTTCCTTTGTGTTCCGTATTTGCAGGACAGATCAGAATTTATTGCTGCTTTTGGGTCCTTGGTGTCTTCTGGGAAATAAAGTGCATATTCACACCTTGTTCTTGGTGCCAGCGAACGCCATAAATAATTTGCTGGGTGTTCCGCGTCTCATGGATGGAACATTATGCCGTTCCCGATGTCGGTGAGGAGATGTGTTCAGGGATGTACACCCTTTCCCCGCGATGGTCTGCAGCTCCAAGCCAGGTGCAATTTAATTATGGAACAAACAACCTTTAAAAGTGCCGAATCTGCTCCACTTGGTGAGCGATGTGTTCCTGGTCTCTGGTGGCTCCACCACCAAGCGGGAGGTTATTGAAGGTCGTGTGGGACAATACAGCAGAATGAACGCCTGGCTCCCCACAGTTCAGTCCTGGAGCTGATGACTTTCATTCGATTATTCTGTGTCGGAGGATTCTAGGAGCGTCACCTGAACGTTTCCTGCACCTCCAATCCCTCGTGTCACCTGAACGTTTCCTGCACCTCCAATCCCTCGTGTCACCTGTTTCCTGCACCTCCAATCCCTCGTATCACCTGAACGTTTCCTGCACCTCCAATCCCTCGTGTCACCTGAGTGTTTCCTGCACCCCCATCCCTCGTGTCATCTGAATGTTTCCTGCACCTCCAAATGTCCCTCGTGTCGGGTTGTGCCCAATATTGACATTTCCCTAAAATGGGTCTGCCTTTATCTTTGGATCATCCCTGCTTTACCTGTCATCTTTGCCCCTCCCCCTTCCTACCTTACCTGTCATCTTAGCCCCTCCCTACCTTACCTGTCACCTGTTCTTTACCAACCCCCTGTTCCACAATCTTGCCTGTGTCCTTTTCCTGCTTATTCATTGCCTTACCTGGCCTCTCTGCCCCTATCCCCGCCTTACCTGGCCTCTCTGCCCCTATCCCCGCCTTACCTGGCCTCTCTGCCCCTATCTCCGCCTAACCTGGCCTCTCTGCCCCTATCCCCGCCTAACCTGGCCTCTCTGCCCCTATCCCCGCCTAACCTGGCCTCTCTGCCCCTATCCCCGCCTTACCTGGCCTCTCTGCCCCTATCCCCGCCTTACCTGGCCTCTCTGCCCCTATCCCCGCCTTACCTGGCCTCTCTGCCCCTATCCCCGCCTTACCTGGCCTCTCTGCCCCTATCCCCGCCTTACCTGGCCTCTCT